GATAAACAGATGTCAAGAGCAGGCATTTCCACAGCCTCAGGTAAGCAGGCCCCCTCACCTCACCCAGAAAGCTAAGCATTTCCGTTGACTGCAATACAGACCTTCACTCTTAACTCCTGTAAGAGAAAACGCATGCCAGCAGAAACACCAGGGACAAAAGGAAAACCGAGACTTACAACTCGAAGACCATATAGAGCATTCCATCGGAACTGTACGTCTCCAGCAGCTCCACAATGTGGGGGTGCTTCAGCATGTGACAGATGCTTGCTTCTCTCTTCAGATCTGAGGGAAGGGAGGAGAGAAGAAAAAGCCAGATGAGCAAAGTTCATGGCAGGCACAAGATCGCAGCCAGGAGAACAGCTCAAGAGGAACGGAGCTGCATCACAGGGGTGTGACACACCAGAGTTAAGACAACCTTTTCCAACGGGAACATCTTAGCCATTTACCCCTGCAATAGGGGTCAAAACTGGGCTCTCTGCTTCCAGTACCACCCCAAACTCCCCACACCACACCTTTCCTCCCATTTCCACCAGTGTCCTGCAGAAGTATACAGCTCTCCCTTCAAAACCCATTACTACCCCGCTGAGGTCATCCACCATGAAGGACACAAGAAATGAAGGCTAGACAGTTGTGGGTATCTGGCTGTACTGCCATGTCGAGTGGCTCTGTGAGTGGAATGCAGCTGTACAGTGCCTCAGGGCTTGCTACATGAAGACATGAGTGTTCATCACTGAACACAGGCCAGGGTGTACCAGGACAGGTAGCGCATGCAGGAAATTCCAATGTTAGACCCAGCGTTCAATTCTGCTTCTGCACTGATTCAAATCTCCTCGACCTTTTTGTAAAAAGACCCACGCTGCAGGATCTAAGAAGGAGCTCTGAAATGTGAACACAGAGGAGGAGCACTCATTAGCATCCTCACCTTATACTTCAAAGTGCAAAGTTTTCTACAGTAATTACAGTCAAACCAGAACACGAAGATGAAGGCAAATATGCTATACTGGGGGGACAGGCAATAAATCTTCACGAACAGACCTTTTGTTTGACAACATATTAGGTCAACAATCACATATCCCTTTATTTGTAAAAGGTTAGACTGGGAATGGGTTTAAAAAATTCTGTGTAGTTTACATGTCTACTGGAACTTCCTTTTGGCTCATGCTTACTTGCCATCGCTTCAACGAACACGTGAAAGGTAAACTTTTCATATTCTAGCAATTCTGGTTGTATTCTTCATGGAGGAATCCCCATTTTCTGCCAGACGACTTTCTCTTTTATAAGCAGACCAATACTGAACAGACCCTACCTATTGGCCTT